TCCTTAAAAAGCACAATCTGCCAAAACTCACAGAAGAAATAGGCAATCTGAATGTCTGTATCTTTGAAAGAAATTGGATCTATAATTAATAACCTTCCAAAACAGAAGTCATTAGGCCCATATTGTTGTGTTGGTTAATTCTGCTAAACATTTAAGGAAGAAACTATACCAATTCCTAAAGCAGAACATTTCCTGACCCATTCTATGCAGCCAGCATTATCCCAATACCAAAACCAAAGACATTACAAGAAAACTACAGGCCAACAGCTTTTACCAACATAAATGCAAAAATCCTCAGTGATATATTAGCAAATTGAATCCAACAATATATACAAAGAATTATACAGTATAATCAAGTGGAATTTATTCTAGGTATGTGTATTAGTTCATTCTCTTGCTGCTACAAAGAACTGCCAGAGGCTGGGCACGGTGGCACACACCTGTAATCTCAGCACTTTGGGAGGCCCAGGCCGGTGGATCACCTGAGGTCAGGAGTTCAAGACCAGCCTGACTAATATGGTGAAAACCCATCTCTACTAAATACAAAAAATTAGCCGGGTGTGGTGGCACATCCCTGTAATCCTAGCTACTTGGGAGGCTGAGGCAGGAGAATTGCTTGAACCCGGGAGGCAGAGGTTGCAGTGAGCTGAGATCACATCATTCCACTCCAGCCTGGGCAACAAGAGTGAAACTCCATCTTTTTTTAAAAAAAAAAAAAGAACTGCCAGAAAATGGGTATTTTATAACGGAAAGAGATTTAATTGACTTACAGTTCAGCATGGCCAGTGAGGCCTCAGGAAACTTATAATCATGCCAGAAGGGGAAGCAAACATGTCCTTCTTCACATGGTGGCAGGGAGAAGAAAAATGAGTGACCAGTGAAGGGGAAGCCTCTTATGAAACCATCAGATCTCACGAGAACTAACTCACTATCACGAGGACAGGATGGGGAAAACCATCCCCATGATTCAGTTGTCTCCACCTGGCCCCTCCCACAACACATGGGGATTATAGAAACTACAATTCAAGACAAGATTTGGGTGGAAACACAGTCAATCATATCAGTATGCAACCTTGGGTTAAGATTCAAAAATCAATTAATGTAATCCATTACAATAGCAGGCTAAAGAAAAAAATCAAAATCACACTGATACTGAAAAAGCATTAACAAAATCAAAAATCATTCATGATAAAAACTCAGCAGACTAGGAATAGAGGGGCAATTTCCTCACCTTGAAAAGAACATCTACTAAAAACCTACAGCTAACATTATATTAATGGTGAGGAACCCAAAGTTTTACCACTAAGATTAGAAAGAAGGCAAGGATGTCTACCCTCACCACTGCTTTTCAGCATCATACTGTAAGTTCTAGCTAACGTAATAAAACAAGAAAAGGAAATAAAAGGTATAAAGATTAGACAGGAAGAAATATATCAAATTCTCTCTCTTCATAGAGGACATAATAGTCTATGTAGAAAATCTGAAATAATCACAAAAAAACCCCTGGAACTAATAAGTGATATAGCAAAGTGGCAGGATACAAAGTTAATTTCCAACATCAATTGCTTTTCTATAAACCAGCAATAAAGAGGTAGATTTTGAAATATAAAACATTACCATTTATATTATCACTCCTAAAAATGAAATACTTAGCTGTAACTCTTACAACACATGTACAAGATCTATATGAAGTAAACTACAAAACTTTGATGAAAGATGACAACTAAATGGAGAGATATTCTGTGTTCATAAATAGGAAGAATCAACATTGTCAAGATGTTCAGTTCTCCACAACTTGATCTACAAATTCAACACAATCTCAACCAATCCCATGAAGTTATTTTGTAGATATTGACAAACTGATTCTGAAGTTTATATGGAAAGGGCCAGGCATAGTGGCTCATGCCTGTAATCCCAAAACTTTGAGAGGCCAAGGTGGGAAGATTGCTTGAGCTCAGGAGTTTAAGACCAGCCTGGGTAATGTAGTGAGATCCCATCTCTACAAAAAAAAATTAAAATTAGCTGGGCATAGTGGCGTGTGCCTATAGACCCAGCTACTCGAGGGGCTAGGGTGGGAGGATCGCTTGAACCCATGAATTCAAGGCTTCACTGAGCTGTGATGGCACCACTGTACTCCAGCCTGGGAGACAGGTTGAGAAACCATCTCAAAAAAATAATAAAAACTAAAAACTAGGTTTATATGGAAAGGCAGAGGTCTCAGAATGGCCAACTCAATGTTAAAGAAGAACGAAGTTGGAGGACTGACTCTACCTGACTTCAAGATTTATTATAAAGCTACATAATCAAGACAGTGTGGTATTGGCAAAAGAACACTAAATAGGCCAATGGAACGGAATAGAAAGCTCAGAAATAGACCTACATAAATATAGTCAACTGATACTCAACAAAGGACTAAAAGTAATACAACAGAGAAAAGACAATCTTTTCAACAAAGACTGTAGAATGGTCAACAATCTTTGTAGACATCTACATGCAAAGAAATAAACCTAGACACAGATCTTACACCCTTCATAAAAAATTAACTCAAAATAGATAATAGACCTAAATTTAAAATGCAAAACTATAAAATTCCTAGAAGATAACTAGATGAACTTGGGCAGAACAATGACTTTTTAGCTACAACATCAAAGGCACTATCCATGAAGGAAATAACTGATAAAACTGGACTTCATTAAAATAAAACACTTGTGCTCTATGAAAGACAATGCCAATGGAGTAAGACAAGTCACAGACTGGGAAAAAATACTTCCAAGAGACTCGAAAAAGGACTGTCATTCAAAACATACAAAGAACTCATAACTCAACAACAAGAAAATGAGCCCCAAAACACAAACAGAACCTTGCCAAAGAAGATAAACAGATGGCAAGTATGTGAAAAGATGTTCAACATCATATCATTAGGGAATCAAAAGTAAAACAAGATACCACTACAGATCTACAAGAGTGACCAAACTCCAAAACAGTAACACCACCAAATGCTGAAGTGGGTGAGAAACAATGGGTACTTTCATTGCTGGTGGGAATACAAAATGGCACATACCCACTTTCAAATACCATTTGGCCATTTCTTATAAAATTGAATATATTCTTACCATGCAATCCTACAACGCTCTCCTTGAAATTTACCCAAAGAAGTTGAAAACTTAGTCTACACAAAAACCTGCACATGGATGTTTATAGCTTTATTCATAATTGCCAAAACCTTGGAACAATCAAAACATCCTCCACTAGGTTTGTGGGTAAACTGTTTTACATCAGATGATGGAATATTATTCAGCACTAAAAATATATGAGCAATCAAGCCATGAAAAGACATGGAGGAAACTTAAATATGTATTACTAAGTGAAAAGTGAATGAAGCCAATATGAAAAAGCTACATACTGTATGATTCCAAGCATGTGACATTCTAAAAAATGCAAAACTATGAATATAGTAAAATGATTACTTGGCAGCGATGATGGGGATGAACAGGCAGAACAGGGGATTTTTAGGGCAGTAAAGACAATGGCAGATAAATATCATAAGTTTGTCTAAACCCACAGAATGTATAACACCAAGAATGAACCCTAATGTAAAACATGGACTTTGGGTAATATGTTCATGTAGGTTCATTAATTGCAACAAATGTACCAAGTACAGAGGGAAATGCCGATAGTAGGGATGGCTCCGGGGGGCAAAGGAGGAACAGTGAGTATATGAGATGTTTTACTTTCTGCTCAATTTTGCTATGAACCTAAAACTGCTCTTAAAAAATAAAGATGTTTTAAAGTTTATGAATTAAAATAAGACATAAAACTGGTAAAATACAAGTTAGGTCTGTAGTTAAGAGTAGTACACCAAAGTTAATTGTTTTCATAAAATATTATTGTGGTTTTTTTTTTTTTTTTTTTTTTGAGACGGAGTCTCGCTGTGTCACCCCGGCTGGAGGGCGGGGGGCGGGCGTACCCCCGCTCAATGCAAGCTCCGCCTCCCGGGTTTATGTCATTCTCCTGCCTCAGCCTCCGGAATAGCTGGGACTACAGGCGCCTGCCACCTCGCCCGGCTATTTTTTTTTGTATTTTTTAGTAGGGACGGGGTTTCACCGTGTTAGCCAGGATGGTCTCGATCTCCTAACCTAGTGATCCGCCCGTCTCGGCCTCCCAAAGTGCTGGGATTACAGGCTTGAGCCACCGCTCCCGGCCTTAAAATATTATTGTTAAATAAAGTGTTATCTTTGGGAAATAACTGAGTGACAGGTAAACAGGAACTCTGTAATATTCTTAAAACTTTTTATGAGTCTAAAGCTATTTCAAAAAAAGCTTTTACTGCAGGGCACAGTGGCTCATGCCTGTAATCCCAGCACTTTGGGAGGCCGAGGCAGGATGATCACTTGAGCCCAGGAGTTTGAGACCAGACTGGACAACAATATCCCATCTATACAAAAACTAATTTTAAAAAATTAGCCATCATGGTGGTGAAAGCCCTGTAGTCCCAGGTACATAAGGAGCTGAGGCAGTACTGCTTGAGCCCAGGAGTCTAAGATTACAGTAAACTATAATCGCACCACTATACTCCGGCCTAGGCAACAGAACAAGGCCCTGTCTCTTAAAAAAAAAAAAAGAGGTAAGTTAGTCAAATGAAAAATGAAGAAAGTTATTATTTACCAGAATTTATATACACCTTAATGTTGCAATGTATCTAGCATTTTTCTAAGGTAATAACATCTATATCTCTATTTTAGAAACATTTTACAACTCTGTTCTTTAAAATACGACAGACATAAGTTCTCAGTGGTTCAGTATAAAGTTTTAGGCATAGCAGAAGAGAAAATTCTGGATGAGAAAAATAAGTCTTGTATTATTAATTACCTTTCTAGGAGAGCAAACTATAAGGAACAATATATAAATTCTAATGGAAGACATGATATAGGTAATAGATCCAAGAGATAATCCAGACCACCATTAGGCTCAATTCTCTTATGACCACCACACTGAGACAATTTTTGAGTCATGACAAATAAATAATAAATTTTTATTAGCATCTTTTCAATTCTACAAATTTTAAAAGTCATTATACATTTTTAAAGGTTACTAAAAATTACTGAAATATGTCCCCACTTAAAATGGAATCAAAGTAATTTATATAATTTTCACCTTTAATATTCATAATTTTTTATTTAAAAGTAGAATAAATTTTAACTCTAAAAAGATTGTTACATCTTTTTAGAATTGAAATTACATTTCAATGAGTGTAGCTCCACTGTAGTTCATGAGGTTTATAGTTAAGAAATATTTAATTAAGTAAACGAATTCATTTATACCAAACTAAAACAAACCAAAAAAAATGTGTACGTATAATGAGACAGTTTATGTATGGTAATTACAGATTTGAAATTAAGTCCCCTTTGCAAAGATCAGTGCATCTGGACTGGTTAATCCACTAAATTATCATCTTCGAATAAGAAACCAAAAACAAAAATGACACTTTGGAAAGAAAAATAATAGTTTCAAAATGAAAGTTACTCTTCCCCTTATTTTAAAATACATAAAATTTTCTAAAATGCAAAATGGAAAGGTTTAATACACAGGAAAAACATTGCATACCTTAACTAAACAAACTAGAAAGAAAATATATTTATATACAGAACTAAGATGAATCCATGCATTATTTTTACAAATATTCACATAGATGGTTTAGAGATAAGTAGTTGTGTCTCATTAACTAATGGATGCTTTCTAGCCTCTGGCTTCATTAATTTTATTTTCTATTCAACAAAAAATAATGCTTTCAGGATATATTACATATAGAGCAATATCATTTTTATCAGTAATTTGTCTGAAAAAGAGAAAAACTTAAAGCAGAAGCCTACAAAGCAAAGTACAAAGCAAAGAGTAATCACAAAGTTTGCAAAATAGAAATGTGTGACTTTAACTTTATAGCAGGCTGCCTAATTAATCCAGACAGTAGAGAAAGCAGACTGAGGCAGGAAGTAAGAGGTAGGACTAAACTGTTAAGAAGATAATCATTTAAAATAAAACTTTAGAATCCTTATTCTAGGAATTCCTTTAATTCTACTTTGCAACTTTTAATAGGTATACTAATTTACACAGGACACACTACCATTTACTATGTAACATTAAAGCTTTCAGTTAAGAAACTGGTCACCAATGAGGTGAGAGGCACCAGGGGAAAAAGCCAACCTGCTGAGGAAGACAAAAGAGGGGAAAGACGGAAGCTGGATCTTTTCTAATGTAGTTTAGCCACTATACTGATTCTGGAACCATCTACCTCTACACTTCCTGCTATGAGAAATAATGTCTTTGTCTTTAAATGTCTTAAAAAAAAAAAAAAAGAAGAAAAGAAGAAAAGAAGAAAAGACAAGAAAACTGGTCAAAAAGTTTCACATAAGATTCGTTTAAAAATCTTTTTTTTTCCTTAGAACAAAAATGGTTAAAAACTTGGGTTTTCTAAAGAAACTTGTATTAATATGAAGCTACGAAGATACACAAAGCTGAAGTATCTGAAACCATTTGGCTGCCTGTAGTTTTCAGCAAGATCACAAAGTACTCAAAAATTCTTTGACCTGAGGAAAGGAAGAAAAAAAAAAATCAGTATAATTCCTTGACTAATTTGAGGTATCTGATATTCCTCTTCATTTAAAAATATATAATAGTTGAAGACCCCAGCCGTATAAGTAACTATCACAATGCCATTGCATTTACTTTCCAAAGAAATATTGTTAAGGCCGGGCCCAGTGGCTCATGCCTGTAATCCCAGTGCTTTGGGAGGCCGAGGTGGGTGGATCACTTAAGGTCAGGAGTTTCAGACCAGACTGGCCAACATGGTGAAACCCCCCATCTCTACTAAAAACACAAAAATTAGTTAGGCATGGAGTGTGCACTTGATATCCCACCTACTTGGGAGTCTGAGGCAGAATTGGTTAAACCTGGGAGAAGGAGATGGCAGTGAGCCAAGATTGTGCCACTGCACTCCAGCCCAGGCAATGCAGCAAGACTGTCTCAAAAAAAAAAAAAAAAAAAAGAAAGAAATATTGTTAAATACTTCAGTAGTAAAAGATGAATGACCTAAAAGGTCATTTTAGGAGTTATTTATCACTCTGTCGCCCAGGCTGAGTACAGTGATGCAATCAAAGCTCACTGCAGCCTTGAACTCCTGGCTAGGTGCACACCATCATATCTGGCTAGTTTTTGTTTGTTTTTTTATAGAGATGAGGTCTCACTATGTTGCCCAGGCTGGTCAGGAACTCCTGGGCTCAAGTAGTCTTCCCACCTCAGCCTCCCAAAGTGCTGGGATTACAGGTGTGAGCCACTGCATCTATCAATTTTAGATACAGTTCTAAAATGCTGTAACACCAATTTTATAATCTCTTTATTTAATATCATAGACCATTGACATATGCAGCTTTAACACTGATAACATTAATAAGCACAATAGTTCAAGCAACTCTGAAGATCAAACATGTAGTAGATTTGTCATGTTTCTGAAGCACATATGTGAATCATACTCTGCAATGTCAGTGTGTGGGGAAAATCATATAAGGAGTCATTGAACCTAGCCAATTGACCATAATGTAAGAATATGCTTGTTCTCCACATATTCTAGGCTACTCAATAATTCTCAAGAGACAAAGATTATTGCCTTGTAAAAATACCTTAAAAAGAAAGTCAACTCCTAACATTATTAATAAAAGTAAATATAATAATGTAAAATGATTCTTAGTCAAAACAAAGAAGTGTTAGATAAAATTAAAAAGTGATTTACAAAGTCAGTTAAATTGATGGTTGGCTGTTAATACTTAATGCTGACTTAATTTCATTTCATAGTATTATAAGTTAATTTATCCTATATTTTTAACATCATTAATAGTATGAAGAGGTCACTGGAATTTTCCAGATAAGCTTTAGTTCATATCATGGGAAAAACAACTACATGTATACGCTACGGTAGTTACATAAAAAGTAAAGATTTTCAAAATCCTTATTATATCCCTTATGAATGTCAAGTCTCTATTAAACACTAGACATGTCACAAAAGAAAGGAAAAATCAAATTTCTCTCAAAACTAAACCAAATTGTGGTTTCTTCTTTATAGCTTAATCACTGAGTTATCAACATGGGTATAGGGATATTTGTTATACAAATTCCCTTACTATTCTCTCTCAAATCTTCATCAATAAATTCTCGCCCAGTCCCTTTATCAAGGGGCACCACTCACTTAACAGAATATGGTCAACTCCCAGTGATTTGGGCGATAAATGCACTGTGATTAAGACAATGACTCAATGATTAAGCAATGTCAATTAATCCTTGACATGATCCCAAATGAAACTGAAAACTAAAACCCTCAATCTCAAGACTTTAGCCAACGTAAAAATGGATGAGATCCATATCCTACAACTTTAAATATCCTCCATATTGAATTTAGTTGAAAAAGATAAATTTAACTTCACAAGCAGTTTATTATTAAAGTATCTAAAGATTGGTGGTGTAGGGAAGAGAGGAAGAAATGGGGACAAAGCAGAGAAAAAGGGGGTGAGAAAGAACTTTTGTTATTATAATTATCCCTATCCTACAGATAGAGGCACTGAAGGATTAAAAAACAATCCTTCTTTTATTTTTATTATTTAACGTTTTTCTAAAACATCTGTCAGATTCTGAGATTCCAAAGGATCCTTATTTTAACTCAGGCCACAAAGCTAGAATTTAGTCAGGACAGGAATCTAAACAGTCCAAAATCTTCTAAAGCTCTTAACTGTTTCTTAATGTAACTTTATGGAACCTTTTCTGTTAGAAAATTGTTTTCTCACAAGCCAGTACACTTTTTTAGAAAAAACAAATATTTGTTTGTAGTCTGTCTAAATCTACCTTTTCAACCAGATTTTCATGTTTGTCTTTAAAGTCTTCATTAACATCCAATATTAAGATAGGCACCTCTTGAAGATAATCGAAGTCGGTTCTGTTTAAAAAGAGAGATTAATAAAATAATCAGAAATGTAAAAAAAAAAAAGAGAGAGAAACATTAAAAATTCATTCGTATGTCCTCGGAAAATCAAAATGTTGTCAATCATTTACACTAAAGTTACTTTGCAATACTTCATCTGGCAGCCCCTTCTTTCTCATTTAGATTTACCACATGGAGCCAAAAAACTCGGGTACAAATATATAAAGCTGGGTACTGTAACATATGATTCTCTTCAAAATCGAAAAACAGATAATAAAGGAGGAATTTCTGCATTTTAAAGATGAGAAAACTAAAGTTCAGAATTGTCATTCTGAAGCTCAGAGGCTATCCAAGGTCACACACCAATAAGTAAGACTGGACTTGAGCCAAGATCTGACTAATAACAAAGTCTATCCTCTCAACAACCATGCTATACAATGTCCCAAGTCAAAATTCTTTCTGAAAGAGTACCTAAATAATGTACAGATATATTTCCTACTTTATCACTTAAAGTGAAATTTCATATATTATACTATCAATACCACCAAGGGATACTAGTTATAAAAACTTTAAGGAAATAGGATCTCATTGCAATCAACAGAATCAAAATCTATACCTAATTCTGAAAGATACCAATAAGCAAAATGACTGAAAATTTTACATGTTGCTAGTCATATCTTCCAAATTTTAGATTAAAATTTAACAAAGGTATTTAAAATGAATAGTAAATAAAAATAAAGAAGTCTTACTTCAGTGTCCTATGCAGGAGCCAGCTTTCGTGTTTATAATGAAGCTTCTCTAAATATTCAAGAGGAATGCCTTGCTCTTCATTTCTTCCCCGTAAATATATTCTATGTAAGCATTTCTAAAAGCAAGTAATAAGAGATGGAAGAAAAAGGCAGTGAACAATTATTCTTGTCTGCTGCCATCAAAATTTTCTTTTCTGTGTCTCTCTACTCATGCTAGCCAAAATCTCTACTTATTACTTCTTAAAAGTTGAAATAATTCATTTTTCCTTCCATGAGCTTTTCAGCCACTTGGTGGCTCTAAGCCAAGTGGTACTTTCAAAAATAAGTTAAAATAAGTCTATAAATTTTTGGTATCCACACATGAAATACACTGAGTTTGATAAAAAGGAGAAAAAAACTAAACATCTACTTAAAATGTTCAGAGACAACAGCTAAAAGGTATGCCAATCTATAAACATAATCTTACTTTGCTGTTAACCAAACTTGACTATAAAATATCTATGTTCAGTTCATATAAAACCACTAAAGGCAGTGGTTCTTAATGTGATGAAAACTCTATACCAGCACAACCAAAACAACTTTGGAATGTTTTATGCCTGTCCTATATCTGCATTATCAAATAAGGTAGCCACTAGCTACCTGTGGTTTTTAAGCACTTGAAATATGGCTAGTGTGATGACCAAGGAACTAAATTTCTAAATTTTAATAACCCTAAATTTAAATAGCCACATTGGACAGTGCAGCTCTAGATTATGTTCCCCCAAAAGCACACATACATAAAAAATTCTGTATAATTTGTGGGGGCTTATAGACCCTGAGAAAGTCTTCATGCATTCCAAGAAATAAAAGCCTCCAACCTAAATGACATGCATAAGACCATCGCAGCATACAAACTGTGTTTCAAACTCTAAATTCTCTTTTCAACAATTAATCCTTTCATCAAAAGATATCAGAAACAATACTGATGAAATTATCAGTATTAAAATGAAATTATTAGTATTCTTTGTTTTTTGGTGTTTGTACTATTTTCATAAGTTTAAGAAACCTTTTCAAAAATAAAAGAATTTCAAAATTATTAAAATTGCTAAATTCTAGCTTAATAGTGACTATAAATGTTTCAAGCAAAATGAAATTATTAGTATTCCTTATGCTCTTTTTCACATTTTTATTTACTATTTTTGTAATTAAGAACAAAAAAAATTTCAAAAATAAAAGTGAATTTCAAAATTAACTTTTGAAATTGCTAAAGAATTGCTAAATCCTTGCTTACTTAATGAAGAACAAAATCTTTACTTAATGGAGAACAAAATCATCCGTTGGAATCAGAAACCTAATTTCTTTGAAAACCCAGCTTTGACAACAACACAGTATTCTAATTTTAGGCCAGAAGTTATGACATTTACATTCATCAGTGCCTACCCTGTGACTTAAGGAAAAAATGAGAATTAAAAAACAGAAACAATAGAAATGCAAGCACCAAAACCAGAAAGCTTCTGATTAAATGTAAGATCTTAATATTTAGGTTAGTTTTATGAAAGGCATCTATTTGGTCTTCCTGTATTCATTATATAACATCATATGTAAATAGAATAGTTATGTTATAACCTATCACAAAAAGCACCTTTTCTTTTTTTTTTTTTTTTTTTTTTTTTGAGACAGAGTCTCGCTCTGTCGCCCGGGCTGGAGTGCAGTGGCCCCATCTCAGCTCACTGCAAGCTCCGCCTCCCGGGTTTACGCCATTCTCCTGCCTCAGCCTCCCGAGTAGCTGGGACTACAGGCGCCCGCCACCTCGCCCAGCTAGTTTTTTGTATTTTTTTTTTTTTAGTAGAGACGGGGTTTCACCGTGTTAGCCAGGACGGTCTCGATCTCCTGACCTCGTGATCCGCCCGTCTCGGCCTCCCAAAGTGCTGGGATTACAGGTTTGAGCCACCGCGCCCAGCCAAAAAGCACCTTTTCAAGTGAGCTCCCTTAATGGAAAATGGCAAGGGTCCTCTAAGTCTTTTCCCAACTACAGCTGCCATTATCGACTCATTTCCAAGGCACAAACAACCATAATAAAAGATTTCTTGAAATGGACCTCCATCAGCATCGCCATTCATTCAATAAATATTTACTGAACTCCTACTATATGCTCCAACAGTGCCTACCACTGGGTGTTCTAGGCACTGGAAATTCAACAGTAATCAAAATACCCAAGGTCCCGCCTCAGGAAGCCTATATTCTAGGAGTTGCTTGACCACATTCATTACTTTAACTGTGATGAATGAGAAGAGTCTGCAAATGTTGGGAAGAAATAATGAGTAAAATAAAAAAGGATTGAGGAAGCACAAAGAGCCTAAAAAAGCAACTTGCCCAGGCTAGGATTCCAATTTGCTGAGAAAAAAGAATGCTCCTATCTACACAGTTACAAGTTTCTAATTTAGAGGTCGGGAGTGGGAGGTTGGGAGGCTGGAGTTAAACTAAATTGCCCTGATTACATACCACTAAAAAGAGTTCTAAATATTTATTTAAATTTTCAATGCAATACATTTTTATTGGGTTTTACCTCTGGAGTGGCTCGAAGATAAATGATTCCATCCAATTCAAGGCTTTGGCCAAATTGGTTATTCATCCAGTCATGCCAGTCTTGATAAATTGTCCACTCTGTTTCATTCATGCATTCAGATTCATACAAATTAGATGCAAAAATATACCTAAAAGAGAGTCTTCATCAACACATGTATCATTTCAAAAAAAAAAAAAAACAAAGAAATAAAAAAGAAAACACGAACATGAAACATTCTCCTAAATCCAGTGGCACATAGTGCCATGGAAAGCAGAAAAAGACAGGAGTCTTTCCATCATGTTTTTGGCCAATGGTTCTCAAAATATGGAGTGAGGACCCCAGGAGTCCCCAAGATATTCTAAGGGGTTCTGTGAGAGGCCAGATTACTTCATATACCAATATACTTCAAACAAACAAACATATCATAACAGATTAAATACAGAAGCATAAATAAAAATCCAGCTCTTTTAATAAGTGAGGCATTAAAGATATCTGCAAAAATGTAAAGCAATGATACTTTTCTAGCTACTTTTTATTTTAGAAAATATAACTTTTTGTGAAGTGTATTTATATTAATATGTAATGAATTTATTATTGCTAGTTTTAAATCATTTTTGTGCATCTCAATTTCTAGTAACGCAAGTATCAACAGGACAAGCTCTTTGGATGCCTCGATAGTTATTAAGAACTGAAAAGGGTCCTGAGATCAAAAAGTCTGAGAACCTCTGTTCTGAGCTAACTTTGGAGGTCAAAAGAATCCTAGCATAAGTAGGGCAATTCTAAGGCCCCTTAGAGACTTTTATCTACTTGCTCCAGGTAAGAGTCTAGGATACAGATCCAGATTTAACCAGAGCAGATGAGAATTTTAAAAGGGTTAGAGGGAAAAACAACTTCTCTGCAAATTTAAATGAGATGGGCACCACCATATTCCCAACAGTTTCTATGGAAGCTGGGGATTAATAAATGCAATAACTTCCCTAATGCCATTAGTACCAGACTGCTGAGGGATTTAAATATCATTTTCCATCTTAAATCCCCAACTCAGCCATTCATATTACTAAATCCCAGGAAACATTAAAAAAAAAAAAAAAAAAGAAAGAAAAGAAAAGAAAAGAAAAAGAAAAAGTCCAGTTCTAAGATAAAAACTTCAAATGGCCACGTATAAGCCATTTATACATACCTGTCACTATACACAGATCGTTCAAAAAGTAATACAGGTTTCTCTGCATCTTTGAGCTTGCCATTGAGAGAGGCAAGCTGAGCTCTTATTCGACTGAGACAGGCATATGTTTGGAAGGTAAATGACCATCGTTCAGGTTTCTCATACATCATCTGAAGAACATTCCCACCATTTTTCTGAGACGTTGTAAGTTCCTATTTTGAATATGCAAAAAGAAAAGCAAAATTAATTATAGGGCTATTTTAATTTTTTAAGGCTAAAAAAGAAAAGTCAGATAAATAAATGCAATCATGATTAGCAAAACCAAGATGATTAAGTTCCCTTTCTCATACTCTTTCCCAATATATTTTTCAGATTGTCTGAGGTCTGGAAAAATCCTTAGATCTTTCTCACAAGAGGTTACAAACTAATAACCTTATGGAAGAAATCGTTGTTTGGTCCAAAAGGCCTTTTTAAAACTTTGACTTAGTTTGTCAGTATTATTGTCAGTATTTAAAAGCTAAATAATTTCACATAAAATATTTGGATTTACATCTTCTTTTTCTTTTTCTTTTTTTGAGAGGGAGTCTTGCTCTGTCTCCCAGGCTGGAGTGCAGTGGCACAATCTCAGCTCACTGCAACCTCCACCTACTGGGTTCAAGCAATTCTCCTGCCTCAGTCTCCCGAGCAGCTGGGACTACAGGCGCATGCCACTATGCCCAACTAATTTTTTGCATTTTTAGTAGAGATGGGGTTTCACCGTATTGGCAAGGATGGTCTTGATCTCCTGACCTCATGATCCGCCCGCCTCAGCCTCCCAAAGTGCTGGGATTACATCTTCTTTTTAAAAATGAAAAAAACCAAGCAGTACCGTGCCCATATTCCCTCTTGGCAAAAATCAGCTAGAGTCAAGTCACAGATGCCTCCTTTAGACGGGATATATGCTCTCCAGCTTATTAACCCCCACCATTCCCAGATGATTTTCATAACAGGCTTGATACATTCATTTGGCTGTCTGGTACCTTTAGGCATTTGTATTTGTAACCCTCCAATCTTCTAATATAATAGAATAGTTCCTCCCCCAGATTTTGTAATTCAATACTCTTATTGTTAGAGCCACATTTTCCATGTTGAGGAAAAATACAAATGTAAATTTTAAAATGAAGTAAAAACTCTTATCATCTTTTATCTGAGTTAGAACTAGCATCTGGAAACATGAATTATTTTTCTCTTTCTATAAAGTTTTCCTAGTTCTGTCCACCAAAACGCCTATAAACAATGAGAACCTTGTAAGAATATACAAAAATATCACCCAGATTATAATCTCTAAATACCATTTCCCACTGAAAGGAATTAGAATTCTGATTCTAAATCTGGGGAAGAAAATATACAAAATGAGTTTCATCTTGTATATTTTAGGAAACTATTACAGACCACTGGGATTGTGCCAAGGACAAAAGAGCCAACGTAAATAAAGCTGCCACTGGTCAAACAGACAATTTGAACATCGAAAATGAATGGAAGGCAAAAATCCATGAGTTTATAATACTAAAAACAACAACAACAACAAACCTCTAGTCATGTTTTGAGGCTCCTAAGGCACAAATTATTCTGGGAATGTGTAGGTGAAAAGAAAAAAAAGTCCCATTTTATTTTGGCCTTTCCTGTATAAATACTTTCAGGGTAATAAAGTGGTATATGAAGAAGAGGTCTTCATTCCTGAAGAATCTCAGCCAATAAATCTAGAAGGCTGGAGAAGGAATATCACCTTTTACAACACCTACTAATATACTGCAATGAGGCAACAATTAGCAATAGATGCTATTATTAAAGTTAATTGGGAATTTTATAATGGATGAATCAAGCTGACAAAACCTAAACTGTTTGATTTTAACATCACAAAACACATCTTTTTTATTTAAATACACATCACCAACTAGGAATCTTGCCAAAAAATAATTGAAAGTAAATCTAATCAAGTCTGTCTCTACCTGTAAATTTACTGGAAATACAGAGAACTGAAAAACATGTTAAATTTTACCAGAGATACACTCAGCCAAAACCAGAATGAGGAAAATTATGTAGAACCAATGACCCTGTTTCTTCAACAAATAAATTATAAAGGAAGAAAAGGAAGAGACAACCTAGATTAAAATTTAAAAGGCATATCAAGGCTGGGCCGGGTGGTTCACACCTATAATCCCAACACTTTAGGAGGCCGAGGCAGGCAGGTCACCTGAGGTCAGGAGTTCAAGATCAGCCTGGCCAACATGGTGAAACCCTGTCTCTACCAAAATTATAAAAAATTAGCCAGGCGTGGTGGCACGCACCTGTAATCCTAGCTACTCGGGAGGCTAAGGCAGGAGAATCACTTGAACTGGGGAGGCAGAGGTTGCAGTGAGCTGAGATCGTGCACTGCACTCCCGCCTGGGTAACAGAGCAAGATTCCATCTCAGAAAAATAAATTAATAAAAATAAAAAATAAATGAAAGGCATATCAACCACCAAATGTAACGTGTGTGAACCTTGTTTGGTTCTTAATTTCAAAAAGTTATGAAAACATTATTAGACAATGGGGAAATATGAACACAGACTGGATAAGATGATAAAAAGAATTATTAATCTTTTAGATGATATTTTTTAAAAGACTGTATTTCCAGAGTTCTCTTTGAGTCTCTGTTTTCTCCAGATGAAGTAATATATTCTCTAAGATAGAGGTTCTTCAAAATATAGTAGGAAAAGTTCCAGGGGTCTCTGGATCTTTTCAGGAGGCTAAAATTCTGGAGATCTGTTCATAATGACCTAAATATGCTTTTAACATTACTGAGCTGTACACTTAAAAACGGTTCAGATGATAAATTTTATCTTTTTGCCACAATAAAAAAATTAATCATTAAAAAAGACCACATACCTCATTTTATTTGAATTTCTCAATAAATATAATCTCTCTTGCCCAAAGCAATTTCAAAGTTTACTATACTAAAATAGCTTAGAGAACCAGTCTTGATTCATCACCTAACCAAAAAAATAATAAACAAGTTCTAAAAATACAAACATGTAAATTCAAACTGAATCAAAAACTGAAATAGAATTTTCAGCTATGAAGATGTTACTGTCTCTTAGTTTAATAGTGTAACAGATTAGAAAATTAACAGTAAGCCAGGGTATCATTATCTGGTTCTTCAGGATAATTTATGAGTCATATAAAACATTTTCTTTTGATCCTATGATGAAATTTGAGACAAGTTGCTAGGGTTTTTTGTATGCAAGTATAAATGTTAAGAATAAAATATGTATTAAAAATTTATCCAGCCAGGTGAGACAGCTCAGGCCTATAATCCCAGCACTTTGGGAGTCCGAAGCAGGCGGATCACGGAAGCTCAGGAGTTCCAGACCAGCGTGGGCAACATGGCAAAACCCTGTCTCTACAAAAAATTAGCCAGGTATGGTGGTGTGCACCTGTAATCCCAGCTACTCCAGAGGTTGAGGTAGGAGAATTGCTTATGCCTGGGAGGTGGAGGTTGCAGTGAGCCAAGACTGTGCCACTGCACTCCAGCCTGGGTAACAGAGCAAGAATCTTGTCTCAAATAAAAAGAAAAAAATCTGAAAACTACTGTGCATCATCTTTACCAAACTGAATGTTTATCAAGATTTTCCCTCTGCAAACTATCCAGAAAAAAATATGAATGTGTCAGAGTGAAACTACACTAAATACAAATTAGTAGAACACTGTTAGATAGAAAGCAGTTTAGCTACATTTGTGGGAAAAAAAAATCTGTACCTTTTGGCCCAATTAATTCCACTTTTGAAAATTTACTTTAAAGAAATAATCTAAGCCAGGCGCAGTGGCTCACGCCTGTAATCCCAACACTTTGGGAGGCCGAGGAGGGTGGATCACAAGGTCAGGAGATGAAGACTATCCTGGCTAGCACAGTGAAACCCCATCTCTACTAAAAATACAAAAGAAAAATTAGCGGGGTGTGGTGCAGGCGCCTGTAGCCCCAGCTACTCAGGAGGCTGAGGCAGGAGAATGGTGTGAACCTGGGAAGCGGAGCTTGCAGTGAGTTGAGATGGCTGCACTCCAGCCTGGGTGACAGAGCGAGACTCCATCTCAAAAAACAAACAAACAAAAAGATATAATCTAGAATACAGATTAAACCACAAAGGTATTTATCACAGAGCTAAGCGAATAGGTTATCATTTCACTATTATTAGGCATTTATATTAAGTAAATAATAGTACATGCATACAATAAATTAGGTTGCCGTTAAAAATCATTTACAGTAAATTTTTAATGATAATTTTAATTGCCCTGACATATAAATATTATGGGGGACAGGGAAGAAACAAAATACAAAACTGTATATACTGTTTTATCAAGTAAGATCTATGGTTATCTCTGGATAATAAGGTTATAGGTAAGTTTTATTCCTGTCTTTTGATAATTTCTAATATTTCCTTAACTTCAAACAGTAAACAAGTATTACTTTATAATATTTTTAAAATTATGTATCACCTCCACCAAAATGTAATATATTACATTATTATTTCAACTATGTAAAAGATACATACAGAGTGGTAGGATTATGGATAATTTTTATTCTGTCTCTATAATACATATCCATTGTCACTTTATGAAAGAATATTTGTTTTATAGGAAGTACAGATTACTGCCAAGTTAAGTGAAAAACAGAAATAATCAAGGTCAGCTATAAAATCATTTATCTTTTAATTCTAAGTCTAATCTTTGTAAACACTGGAAAAGAGTTGAATTAAGTTCAATTGTAAAAGATCAGAGTCTACCAAATAAGATAATTATAAAATAGCCAACAGGCCCAGGAATGGTGACTCATACACCTAATTCCAGCACTTTGGGAGGCTGAGGCAGGCAGACTGCTTGATCCCAGGAGTTTGAGACAAGCCTGGGCAACACTGGCAAAATCCTCTCTCTATAAAAAATACAAAACTTAGCCGGGCATGTTGGTGCGGGCCTGTAGTCCCAGCTACTGAGGAGGTTGAAGTGGGAGGACCACTTGGGCCCAGGAGGCGGAGGCTGCAGTGAGCTGAGGTTCACCATTGTACTCTAGCCTGGACAATAAAGCAAGACTCAAAAAAATACAAGCCAACAAAAGTTATCACATTAATTCAAAAGATATAAGTGGAAGTGCTTTATCAAGCACTCTTAACTAATTTTCAAGAACGACTTATTGGGCCA